ATTTTTCAGTTAATTTCTCACTGTGTAGCCTTCTTTTGATAAGGTGTAACAACTGTCATTACTCAGCAAACATATGAGTTAGTCTGAATTTCCTTATGCTCTTCATTTATGTACTTAAAATGCATTTCATGTCACATTATAATTCATCCTCCACTTGTTCTTCTGAAAGATTAGTCTCACTTGTAAGGATTGATTTTTATTACCATGGATACTATTTTAATTACCTTGTGTTATTCAAAGAAAAACTGCTAATTTAAACAGTAAATGATACTATAATTAAATAGATTTCTTTTAAAACTTACACATTTTGGACCCAGCAGTTTACATTTAGTATGTATTTAGGATTGCATGCATTGTTTCAGGATACATTGTGTCATGCTGTCTGGATCCTATTGCAAGTTGATTTTTTTCACAAAAGCTGATGATTGTGAGATTTAGCCACTCTAAAATCAGGTCTGAAATGAGTATCTGAAGGTATCACAGGTGGTGTAGAAATGGAATTGCTGGCTGGCTTGTGTAGTGTATGCATTTTCAGCTTTGGCTGGTATTGTGAAATTAATTAAGTCTTTCAACACATTGTACTGATTTATCATAGTAGATGAGTTCCCATTTCCCCACTGTCATGCGGGCACTTAAGATGTTTCTGTTTAATTGTGTGTAAAGTTGAATCTCAGTTGCTCTATTTCCATTTCTCTGATTATTAGCAGGGTGAGTCATTTTCAGACACTTCTTGGCTCTGTGGCTATTCCCTTCTGTGAATGTCCTGTTCGTTTGTTTATTTATTTATTTATTTATGTGCAGGGGATCAAACTCAGGACCTTGTGCTTGCCAGGACAGCGCAGTGCCACTGAACTAAATCCCCAGCCTTCCTGTTCATTTATATGCATGTCTTTGGTTCAGGTTTTGGGCTTGTCTTTTTCTCATTGATTTGTTTTGATGTATCCTGCATACGAATCGTTGTAAGTTACAGGGATTGTAGAGTTCTTCTGAGCTGATGGCTTCTCTCATTTGCTTGTGGGGACTCATGTGATACACATGTTGTGTCATTTGAGTACTGTACTCAAATGTATCAGTGCAGTCGGCCCTCCACACCTGCAAGTTCAGCACACACGGATTCGGTCAGCCACAACTAGAAATGTTAGAAACAAAATTGTGTCTGTACTGCACATGGACAGACTTCTTGCTAGCAGTTACATTGTAGCAAGTATTGTAAGTGGTCTTGGGATGGTTTGAAGCACGTGGAGACTTGCAGAAGCTTTGTACACAAATACTGTCCCCTTTTATATAGGCGACTTAGCAGCCGGGGTTTCAGTGTCCAGGCTGGATGCTGGAGCCCATCCCCCTGGGGTGGTGCGAACACAGCCCCTCTCCGAAAGCCAAGCAGATGGGGCCTGATCTTGGCTTTAGCCTTCAAAACCGTGAGCTGAGCAGACCTCTCATCCGTATGCGGCCCAGCCTCAGGTGTGTTACTGCAACAGAAAACAGATGAAGGTTGTTTCCTTTCAGTTTATATATGTTTTTGATATCATTTTCAAAATCCTTTTCTACTCTACTATGGCAGTTATTCTATATTTTCCTTTAAAGTTTTTCTTCCCACCATTAGATCTTCAAGCTTCTTATAATTTAAAAATATATTCTTTGAATATTTTCAAAAAATTGTACCTGTTTCCTTTAAAGACGAGTTTGTTTTGTGCAGGGGACCATAATATTGATTATGCCCAAGGCAGGCTGTGAGGAGTTAACCTCCCAATTGGCTTGTTTATAGAAGTGAGTCTGGCTGAAGCCTATGTGCCCAGGTCAGAGTAACTCGCATCCAAATTCCATTCCCACAACTAAAACCTTTAGACTAGGACAGTGTTCTAATTACAACCATTTATTTTGTCTATTCTGTTCCTAATTCGAGAATGCTTTGTCTTGTTTTTTATGAGCCTTGTGTACATTAATTTCCATAGAACCTGCACATGGCTCACCTTCACCCCAGTTGATTGCCAATAAAAGTCAGTGGCTGGGACTGGCCAGGGCTGGGTCGGTTGCCCAGCTTTGGTCATCCTGGCGCCCGCTTTCTCTCCTAGTTCTGTTTTCTAGTTTTATTTCTCAGGCCTGTGTGGCAGACTGGGCACGTGGGGATTGGAGCCTACTGCAGGTCCCGGCAGTTTTGCAGTTTTGATGCTCTGGCCCATGCCCATGTGTGCAGCCTTTGCCCCTTGCCCTGCGAGCTCCGGCCAGCTCTGTGCTGTGCCCTCTGGCCATTCGGTGAGTGTGCGTTTGGTAGGGTCGGCCATCTCTCCACATGCTTTGTTGATAAACTTCTGCTATCTTTGACCTTCTGCCTTCCATATGTGCTACAGAATCAAGCCGAGGTCAGGGAAGCATTGGTGGGGCATCCACCGTCGCTGCATCTGAGTGATAGTTAATCTGCAGAGACCTGGCCTCTTTGAGCCTTAGTTGGAGACTGCACTTACCTCATTTATTCATGTCTGTAATGCTTTTCATTTCTGTGTGCAGATTCAAGTTTCTGACCTATAGGTTGTTTTCCTTCTCTTCAAAGAATCTCTTTTAACGTTTGCCATAAGGCAGATATACTGGCAAAAAAAAAAAATTCCTTGTGATTGTATGTATGATAATTTGATTTAGAATTCTGTAGGTGTTTTTGTCTCTCATCACTGCACATTTCGCTCCAACATCATGGACCCAGTGAAATGCACCGAGGGGAATCAGCCCTCGGCTGGTTAAATTTTAGGCTTAGAAAAGCCTAGGATGGGGGCTGTGTCCACTGTCTGTAGTAGCTGCGGGTTCCAGAAGCATCCTTGATTTTGTTTATCCTTTAGTCTTTGGGTTTCCCTAGGAATTCTTTTTCGCTTAAGCCTTTGTCTGAAGCTTTGTAGTAGCATTTCTGCAGGGCACCGCTGACACTGTGGGAGGTGTGGGGCGGGGAGTGATCTCTGGTTTTTGATTGGGTCCCACCGTAGTGAGTATGTGTGCCTGGGGGGACCTTCCCACGTGCTTGTCAGCATCTGCTCCCTGCAGGCAAGGCAGGAAGGCTAAAGGGGACTGGATGTGGGTGTTTCTCTTCCTCTGGGTCAGGAAAGTTCTGGAAAACCCCAGTGGGTTTGGCTGTGTGTGGTAAAATAGCTTCCCCTGAGTCCAGACCTTGGGTAAGAAGGAAAGAAGGCTCGGGGCGTATTTCAGAATGCTTAGTTTTCCTTCTCTGCCAGGAGCTTCAGGGGACTCTTCCCCATCTTCACCTAAGCTTGGTGGGGCTCTCGGAGTGTGAGGCCCTGGAAGTGTGAAGGTCCCCTAAAACCCTGGGGATTTTTTTGTACCAGGGATCGAACCCAGGACCTTGTGCTTGTGAGGCAGGTGGAAGCACCACTGAGCTAAATCCCCAGCCCAGTCCTCGGCATTTTTACCTTGAGGATGCCCTTGCCCAGTCTCCAGTACTCACTCAGCGACCAAATGCTCTCGCACCATGCCTTCCGCCCCCGTGAGTGGTGTCTCTGGATCTGCCTGCTCCGGCTTGGGGATGGCATTGGCCCTGTGGCTTGAGCTGTCTGGTGCATCTCAGAGAAGCTGTTGGCTTTCATTGTTTAGCTCTCTTCTCGTGAGGGCAGTTGTGATGACTTCTGAGCCAGTTTCCTGTTGACCGGTACCGGCCTGATGGAGCCTGTTGAAGGCCATAGTACTGCACATGTTACTTTTGCGTATGTGCACGTGTCTATAATGCTCATGATGTCATAGGTGGCATAAAGCTTTATTGTTGTAAATGCTATATTTTTCCCAATTCTGTTCGTTGTTTTGCTGTAGGTACATAGGAAACTAGATATTGTGTAGTCATTTTCTGTCTGCCAATTTTCCATTTTCTGATCATATTTATTTTTCAGACCTTCAGATGGACACTTAATATCACTTATTTTAGTCCCACTACCTCCTTCAGGTATATTGTTAGCATCTTAAAGATAGGTGTGGATCACGTGGACAGGGGTTGATGGTAGGATGCGATGCCTTTCTTTCCTTCGTGTCGTCTTGCTGCTGTCATACTTGGAATTTTAAAGTTCTCAGAATACTCTGGTGGAGTGTGATAGCTGAGCTTCGAGTGATGAGACATCCCTTAGTAGGAGAGGGGAACAAAACAGCCCTGCTTCTTCGAGTCCTTGTACAGCTATCTAGCTGTAACTGCATATGAACTTGTCCTGTGCCATGGAGATGGGACAGCTGGACAAGGCTGGGGCACCAGGCACACACGGAGCTTTCTCTGTGCACCACCCCTCCTGCCCTTGTCACTGAGGGAGCAAGTGCACAGGAACAGAAGCAGTGCACAGTGCCTCGTGGCACTTTTGTTCATGCCCAGAGCACACTTTGTCCCCTCCCACCACCGCTGACTGCCCCCACAGTCCCTTGACAGTAGGTGTTTCAGTTAGATTATGCTAGTGATTTATCCTTTCTTCATGGATATTTTGGAAGAAAGGAACTTGTTATTTGGGGTTCAGTTTCAAACACTATTTGAGTGTGGTCTGTCTGATATAACTGGCTTATCATGGGAATGGTTTGTATGATGTATTTATATCTTTTGAGTCTGTTTCTATAAATAACTTGTCAGTTGTTTGATGTATTTGATAAAACGGATTACTGTTTAATTTTGTCTAACATTTTGATCATTGCTCAGCCTAAACATAAGTGATAACCGGTTTATACATATTAATTTGACGGTTTAATGCCAATCTACGGTAACCAGTTTGGCATTGCCTAGTAAATTTCCTCCCCTAAGCACTGAAAGTTTTAAGAAATTGCTCTTTTGATTTTCATAATGTCATTTTGACCTGAGGACTTTTTCAGAATAAAATGAGCTTGATGCTTATTCAGTGTCATGAATAGTTTGATCCTGGATGAAGTTATCTGCTGACCCCCACCTTTGATTAGGGATCCTGTCCTGAGAAAGTGCGGGTGGGGCTCGTGGGTTTGGCGTGAAGAGATCTGAGCCGAGCCTCTGGCCTTTCTTTCAGGTCCTGGAGTACATCCTGCCACCCCTGGTCTCCCTGGTTCAGAGCCAGAACGGTAAGTGTGGCCGCGGTGGGCAGCGTCTTTCTGCTTCCCCTGGCCGGCCGGCTCTGCGCGGAGTCACGGCCTGGCCTCGCTTCCTTCTCTTCCAGTGGAGTGGAGGCTCTTCAGCCTGCGGCTGCTCTCGGAAACCGCGTGCCTGCTGGTGGACCTGGCGGCTGGGGATGGCGAGGAGGAGGAGGCCGCCGGCGGCTGTGAGCACAGCCTTGTGGCGCTGGTGCGCGATGTCCTGCTGCCGCAGTGAGTGCGCCGGGAGGCCTCAGTCCCCTTGTCCATCCGTGGTGCCCCGCGCCTTGTGCGTGCAGTCAGAGCGCGGAGACCGAGGCCCGGTATGGGCCGCGGCTGTGGCCTTGCAGCGGTTTGCGCCAGCATAGGGCTCCAGTGGGGTGGGCTTAGCGTGTGAGGTCAGTGTGGCGACTGCGGGGCAGGGTGCTGCGATGCTCCTGGCCCTGCGCCTCCCTTTCCCCAAACCCTTCGGTTAGGTTACGGCGGGCTTGTGTTTGGGGGATGAGCGGGAGGTGGAGCAGGTCGGGAGTACTGGCTGACTGCGGTGGAGTATTTCTCCTTTGTACTCCGTGGCTCACGTGGCAAACAGCAGGATGACCTCAGAGAGCACCCAGTGGAAATGCGGAAGCCCCCCAAGGCACCCCAGAGCCGAGGGCCACGGATCCTCTGGTCAGTTATCCTTGCGCCCCTATGTCGCCGCCAGAGGAGGGCGTTGCGGAAGTGCTTCCGGGTGGCGCGTTCTGCCCAGGGCTCATGCCTGTCGCTGCTCCTTCAGGCCTGGGCTGCAGTGTGCATCCTCTGCAGGTTTTCGGGAGCGGCTGCGTTGCGTGTGCTGCCCTCTCTTCGCCTCCTCGGGATCTGGTCTCAGTTTAAAGAGTTAACGATCACAGTACGGGAACCAGGTGCAGCTGCATTCTGATTTTGGCCCGTGTTAAGAGTTTGAATGACGGAACATAAACTTGGGTCCACATTAAAACGCCACACAAATGACCACGCCTCCTGTGGCAGCGAGTGCCTGCCCCGGAGCGGGCAGATGGACGGGCCACCTCTTCTTTCCCCTTTCCTCCCTGCTCTTCCTCAGTCAGGTTCTGGGAGATCCCTGCTATAGGTGTGAGTAGCAAGGATACTTCTGATACTCAAAGGGTGAAAATGATTATCTATATGGAAAGAAATTTAAGCTTTGTCATGTGGGACTTTCCTAGTGACAGACTATCATATTTTCAGTTGTGTTTGTTTTATATGAGTGTGTGTAGGCTTTGTACTTCTGTTGGTTAAATAAAAGATAACAGCTTTTCTAGTGGGATTAATAATTTCAGTGCCACTGTACACTTCTAGAACTATTCATGTATAATCATTGCATCTTTCTAATAAGAAAGTACCTAAAACTGCAGTTTTTGCATAAAATGTGAATTTTGAAAGATGTGCTTTGGGCATCTTCCATCGAGAAACTTGGGGAGAAGCATTTTTGAGACCTGAGACATTTCCCTTACATCAGGGGTAGGATTTACTCCAGCAGGGCTTCACAGTTCAGCAGTAGCTTGTTAACATCTCTGTCAGTCTGAACTGAAATACCTTCATATCAGAAGTCTGCTCAGTTTTGGAACAGTTTGTAAAATAAAATGTGTTAACTCTAACTCACTTCTCCTGTGTTATTCATTTAAGCCGAAATAAAAAATACATATTTCCATTAATGTACATGATTAACTTTTCCAGAGATAAAGAATTAAAGAAGAAACTACAGATATAAACCACATGATGACTTAAGGTCACAAATAATGTAGATGAGCTCAGGTTTTTATTCGATGACTTAAAATGCACCTCCTGTCATAGTGTGGGTGCAGAGAGAGAGGTCCTCAAAGCTCAAGATGGGCTCCGAGGTGACGCTCAGGTCCCGGCTCTCTCTGCGGTTCAGGCTCTGAACCTGTGTTTCCACTTCTGCAGCCCAAGGGCAATGTTTCTGCTTCAGAGGAGGCTGGGGACCATGCAGAGCCTTCTCGGGAAGCACTTGGCACACCGCGCGTGGGACGTAGCTCCCTCTTCACAGATGTTCGGCACCACTTGTGTTCCTATTAGGCTCACTATTGCCATCTCTCCATTAACCTTGCAGTGGAGATTGTAATAGTACAGTAATAGTAATAGCACATACTTCATAGACATGAAGTGGTCGTTAAAACAGATAATGTTTATTCTGCCTGCCTGGCATATACAGTGAGGACTGGATAATATTATGTAAACATTTTTGTAAGTGAAATATCTGTATGCTTTTGTTTAACTTTCTTGACTCTGGAAAATTGCAACCTTGGCAAAAAGTTTGGTCTTTGAAGATGAATCATTGTAATTATAAGTTTATAAGTGCTAACAATGGAAAAATTCATGTTCTCCATTGGGTATACAAATATAATAGCTTAAAAATTATTACATTTCTGAAACCTATAGTACCCTCTTAGAATCCACTTAGCTTGGCAGGTGACAGGTTGATGTTGATACTTTTAATTTTCTTAGAATGTTTATCTTCCTTTGACCTGTTTTTAGACGACAGGGCGACAGCCTTTTCAGGCCCACGTGGGGCAGGCGCTCTAGAATTCACGCAAAGCTGTCTGTGCGTCAACGTTATTTTATTCGCAAACAAAAATACCCAGTTCCAGCCAACTCAGAAATCTGTTTCCTCTCACGATGGAGAAGCCAAGGCTCGTGCTGGCACGGGCAGAGCAGGGCTCACGACTGCCACCCTCTGTGCCGCCCTTGGCATCTCCTCCCTGCAGCACCCAGGGGTCTGTCCTCTGAGGGCCCCTTCAGGCAGCAGCCCCTGGGTGGCCAAGTCCGGAGAGAGGCTGAGTGTCTTCTGCAGCAGTCCCGGCAGGTTCTCAGGAGGACAGCGACTGAATCCTGCCATCACCTCATGGTTCCCACTTGCTGTGCTCAGTCAGCGCTCAGGGCGACCGCAGCCACAGCTGAAGAACAAGTATCTTCATGGAGCTCCCCAGAGAGGCAGCGCCCTGGGCCGGGTTGTGTGCGGGTCTGCATACTGAGAGGGTTGTGCAGCTGGCTCACGTGATTGTGGAGCTGAGCAGTCCTGAGGTGTTCGGCTCACAGGGGAGGGTGATGGACTCTGAGCTGCAGTCAGTCCTCTGCTCTTCCCTGGCTTACAGTTCCTCAGGTGAGAGTCACCCTCCCCACCCGCATGTTGCAATCACACCTGACCAGATGTCCAGGCACCCATGGCCCAGTCACATTCAGACATAAAACAACCACCACCGCATGTGTCGTAAATGCCGTGGATGAATTGCTGTGTCAGTTAATGAATTAGTAGCAAAGAACCATCATTACCTCTTCTCGGTGCGGTGGTTTGTCTTCTAGAGAGGAGCTTTTGTTAGAAGCATTTGGTGCCTCCTGCCTGTAGGTTTCATTCCATTATAATGGAACCCGGGTGTGACTGGCAAGGAAAGGACTGCACCGCAGTCTGGGATGGAGAGGCAGGGTGCTGCGGAAGCTGGCTGGCTGTCTCCAGGAGGAGCTGCTGCCTGTGAGCTCCCCGGAGCAGCGGGCAGCATCTTCTCTCTTCCCTGGCCCAGGACTCCCCAGTACTGAGTGCATCCGATTCACAAACTGGGACCCAGCCAGGCACAGCTCTGCCGGAGTAGCACTTGCTCTTCCCAGAGCCGAAGTTCAGCAGCGTTAACCAAAGTCCTCTGAGTGAAGATGTTCTCCGAAGCATCGGTTAAAGTTGAGCCTAGGTGATGTTAATAGACCTGGAGGAAATGCGGTTTTTTTGAAATTCTGCTTTGCTTTTGGGTTCCACAGTTCACCTGTTTCACTTTCTGAAGCAGACCTTCTCGTGTTCTACAACCTCAGGACGTGGTTTCTCAGTTGCCTCTCTGTTAAATCTCCCAGGACTCCAGGGAGCTTCCCACCACAGCCTTGGAAATGCTGCTTCTTGGGGTGTCTGAATTGCATCAGGAGCAAGGCGAGGAGCCTCACCACCAGGACTGACATAGGTGTGGATTGAGAGTGTGAACTAATCCATTCTCAATCTCTTTGCTGTGGGAGTGTAGACTTGGTGGTGTAACTCAGTCCCACTTCCTGTCCCAGCTCCTGCGAGGTGCTGGCCCCTCCACCCAGGTCCCACACAGCCAAAACCAAGGTGTCTTTCTGTGGGCCAAGTCCCTCTTGAAGGCACCGGGGTAATTCTACTTTCAGACCCTTCTGATTGTTGGCAGAATTCAGTTTCTTGTGACTTATGTTGGTTTCCTAGTGCTCCTGTAACAATTTACCACAAACTAACTGGCTGAAGACAGAAGAAATTCATTCTCTAAAAGTCTAGGAGGCCAGAAGTCTGAAACTGAAGCGCTGGCAGGGTTGGGGTTTCGGTTGCCGGGGGATCCATCTTATGCTGCTCCCAGCTTCTGGTGGCACTGAGACTTGGACTTGTGCTCTGTTCCTCATTGTCACTTGTCTTTCTCCTTTGGATTTTTCATCTCAAACTTCCCTCTGCTTTTCTCCTGTGAGGACACCTGTGTTGGATTAGGACTATCCTAAATCCAGGGTGATCTTGCCTTTTTGGGGGGGGGGTAGTAGAGCTGGGGATTGATCTCAGGGCCTTCACACTGAGCTATAACCCCATTCCATTTTTATTTTGAGACAAGGTCTCACTAAGTCACTATGTTGCCCAGGCTTGGCTTGAACTTGTGACCCTCTCAGCCTCAGCCTCCCACAGCACTGGGAGTACAGGTGGGCACCACTGTGTGCGGCTCAGGGTGACCGTATCTTGACATCCTTAACTACATCTTCAGAGCCCCTTTTTTCCATGTAAGGTCACTGTTATGGTGTGTATGTAGATATCCCCCAGAGTCTCATGTGCTCATTGGTGGGGCTTTTGGGAGGCAGCTGTATCCTGGTTGTGTGATAACTAAATTGGTTTAGCACCGCTCTGGGTGTGGGTAATGGGAGCTCCAGCCTGGAAATGGGTGACACCAATTGGGCTTATAGCCTGGATAGACTCTAGAGAGACAGAAGGAAGGCAGGCTGCTGCTGCTTGCCTGCCACACCATGGACTGTTTCTCTGTTGTGATGCCCCTCTGCCATGGCACCCTGCCTTGCAGCCAGCTGACTATAGACCGAAACCTCTACAGACTGTGAGCTGAAATAAACCTTTCCTTCTTTAAGTTGTGGGTATTGGGTATTTTGTCCCATTAATGAGAAAGCAACTAAGACAGTCACATTCACAGGCTGTCAAG